CTGCGGGCGATTCCACGTGGTCCCAGTGGTGTGGCAAGGAGGCCCCGCTGAGGTTACCAGGTAAAATTATAGAAAGGTGAAGGTTCGTGCATCTGAAAAGTGCTCGGTCAGTGAAAACACACATTTTGTAGGAACTCGGAATAAGCAGCATGGATGTATTGTCTGGGCTGAGACCAAGCACGGCAAACGTTATCCCAAAGGATGTTGTAGGGAGCAGCCGGAGGTGTCTGGGTTCTGCTACAAGGAGACCGTTTCAGGTCTTTCTGGGTCGGGCCCCACAGGCAGCCGTTTTCCTGAACAGGACGCGGGTGTTGCTCAGTGCCGGCGTTCCTGTTAAGAAGGGCAGGAGCAGCGCTTGGTGGGCTCAGGGATCCCAGCAGCGTCCCCGCAGCGCCTGGTTTGTGTGCGGCTGAGCTCCTGGGCAGTTACACAGCAGAGACCCTGTCGCTTCCAACCGAGCGGAGCGGGAGATGGCAGGGGGCCGGGGCCGTGCTCCTCATGCTCCGGTTGCGGCATGCGGACTTCAGCAACCTGTCCTCTTCCCAAATTCCTTCAGTGCACCTGGTGATGTGACCCAGACGGGCAATTTAAGGTGCTGTTCCGATGCCTCGCATACCCCTTCATCCGACGGTGGCTAACGCAGGTTTTCCACGTTTTCCTTTCCCAGAATATTCCCATACCAACTTTAAAAGCTTTTGCGGAGGCGCTGAGAAGTAACACCCACGTGAAGAAATTCAGCATAGTTGGGACACGGAGCAACGATCCCGTCGCTTTCGTGAGTACCGCTGGCTCGCTGTCCCACAAAAAAAAAGAGGGTGTTGCGGGAGGTGCTGAGGGTGTGGGCACCACGCAGTGTGTTTGGTAGGGTCTGCGCCGACGGCGCTGGCTGCAGGAGACTCCGTTTCAGGAGCGCTGGCGGAAGCCAGACCTTGGTTCCTTGGTTTCCTTCTTCAGCGGTGGAGATTCCAGGGCACAATCCTTTAATCCCATTTGGTGTCATGTTTTCCTCAAGGATTTCCTGGAAGAGGAGTGGGAGACAGGAACTGGTTTCCTGGTGGCATTTCATAAAAGCATTTTGTCTCCCTGGATTTATCCTGCAGAGAGAGATGCTGGGCGTTCCGCCCGGTCCTCATGCTCCCTCCCAGGCCGCATCCTTGCCCGCTCCTCCCAGCCATGGCAGCCAATTTTGCCTCTTCTCCACCCAGCCACCCCTCCCCGCCTCCACGCACATGTGGGTACCGGTTTGAAACCCACCCTAACTCGGCGGGGGAGTACAGCCCCCGCGTTGTTCCGGGCGCTCTGGGCCGGGGAATAAGCCTGTGCAGGCAGCACTGGCACCGTCTGAGGGGCCACGGGGGTTGGGGGGGTGCAGGTCACCCTTGCCACTTGGGCGTCACCTCACGGTCCTTCTAAAGGCTGGGGGAGTTGGGGGGGTCAGCCTGGAGCAGGGAAGCTCCCGGGAGACCTCAGAGCCCCTTCCCGTGCCTGGGGGGGCTA